GGCCCCCGGGCCTTCTCCACTGGCCCCCGGGCCATCTCCACTGGCCCTCAGTTTCCTTACTTGAAAACAACTTTTAATGAAGTGAATGAAAACCCTGAATTCTATCAATGAAACTGAAGGAAGTCTAAACATCTCTGACAAATATATCAAAAACCTTTGGATTTTTGTTGGATTATTACCTGGATTACTGAGCATGAACTTTGGTGTTTTGAACCCCTTTGGCATGACTGGCTCAGAGGAGTTGATGGGGGCACGGTGGGCCCCGGAGGCCATCTTATCACCGGCAAACGGTTTTTCTCCACTAAGGAGTGAGCTGTTTGTGGGACTCAGTTTGTTGGTGGCTCCTCAGATTGAAGAAGTCCTTTGGATTAAGGACGAAACATCTCAGCAACAAAACAAACAAACAAAGAAACCGTCTAGTTGACCGACTGAACATTGTTGGATTATTACCTGGATTACTGAGTATGAACTTTGGTTTTTGGATTAAGATGCTAAAACCCGTTTCCAGAACTCGACTGAACCTTAGACCCCAAACAGCAAACACACGTTAGGTTTTGTTTTGCATATTTAAGCTAACACATATATTGTCACAAGTTTGAACAGAGTAGGTTTGAATTATTAAAGAATACTGATGAGACACATTTGATCAAACAAGAAAAGTCCTGGAAAAATCTCCTAAACGATCTGTTTTAGAGAAAATGTAATTCCAATACATGGGGATAAATAAAGTTTTTGGAATTGAATTCTTCACGCAGCCCTTGAGTTGCTTTAAACATCCTGATTTGCTCACCCGCTCTAATCGATCCTTCAGGTTGTGAAAAGCTGGATTATCGTGCAGTTTTAGTCTTAGTCCGGCTGAGAGTCCCGACTCATCGTTCTGCTGCTGATCCACACAAAACAAGTGACGACGTAAAGAGCGCGTTCATACGAAGTGATGAGATATGAAATCACGATCCTCTCAATTAATTTAAAACGTTTGGTTTGGAGGAGTTTTAATGACAGAAATGAGTGTTCCTCTGATTCGCTGTTAATTTGACTTCTCCATTAAATTTCTTCCAGATTCTCCAAACTGAGATCAAGATAACTGTTGTCTGCTGCATGTAAGACACTGACTGTTAAAAACTGAGCCACACAACCACAATCAAATACATGGAAATGTCATTTTATTCAGAGGGACACTGATGGGTGAAGTGAACATTCAGTTTGAATTTCATCTGTTCTGGATTATCTGTCATTTCTCTGTTTGCCTTTATTTTTCTTCGGCCCTTTTCCCTCGCATGCTGCTGAAAGTGACAACTCCAGCGAGTCTGGACTTGGACTGTGATGCTCAACCAAAACCAACGACAAACTGCCTAGAGAAATGCCCGGTCAGGTTCCTCTGTGTTCTCGTTCATCAGTCAAAGTAATAGTTCTGCACGAAGACGGTAGTCAGGCCTCTGTAGATGGGCTGGTGGTTGTAAATGAGAGCTCTGTCTTCTTCAGCAGGACTGGAGAACCGGTGCTGGCTCTTCATGGCTGAAGGACAAGATGGAAGAAGAAAAAAGAGATCATTTCTCATTTTTTGTTTTATTTTTGGCCACAAAGCTCTAATGAGGTCCAGATATTTCCACTGATGAAAAGCAGAAATGATGATCAAAAACACTGATCAACAGCAAAGTTCTGAGTCTCACCTTCAGAGATGAAGAAGCTGGCAGCGTAGAAGCTGGTTCTGATAGCAGAGGTGGAGTGGACCATGCCCGGCTTATCGATCCACTCAAACGGACTTTTTTCTGGATGCCACTGCACAGCATAAAACGGGTACCTATAGGCTGAGAAAAGTGACAAACTTTGTCAGCAATCTCACTAATCTATCCTAATCTATACTAATCTATCCTAATCTATACTAATCTATACTAATCTATACTAATCTATACTAATCT